GAGAACCCCACATGTGTAGTTTAATCTGAATCTACGTGAGATGATATTAGGATGATGGTGGTGTGAACGCGAAATACGAGGAGCTGACATCTGGAGCTTTTGCAAGTTTTTTCCGCCTCTTGCATTTATGAACAAAACCCCGCAAGCCCGCAACAAAACAATAAGCATAGTTGACCTCCCTCAAAACGGGGAGGTGCATGCGCCTTGGTACTGGGAAGCGCTGATGCCAAAGGTGTCAAGGCCTACCCACCATCCCTGCAGCTACCTCTCGGGGCGTTTATTTTGGTAGTTGAAGTGAGACTATATTCTTCCACAAACAGAAGAAGTACATATATATATATATACAGTAGGCATAGCAACGTTCCGTTTTCTTTCCTCCCCCCCCAGCAACAAAACACGCCAAACCATAATGTAAAAATCAATATTCCAGCGCCCCCTAGCAATAAAACGCGCCAAACCATGTAAAACTGAATATTTCAGTGCCGTATATAATAGAACATGTATTGCCGCGGAGGGGCGGGGGCTTCCGGAGGGAGAGGATGCACTACCACTCAAGGGTTTAGGGTTTAGGGTTTAGGTTTAGGGTTTAGGGTTTCTTTGCTTACTTTTGCTTACTTGACAGAAAGATTCCAATCTTACTTCATTCAACTACCAAGATAACGGACAACCACACTGTGTGTCACACCTTGTTCTCTCGCTCAGAGGAGCTACAGCCAATATTTCAGCTATACTTCATGGACATAAGTTCCTTCTAAGGAATATTTTAGGGGCTATAACTATGCTAAACTACCAAAGGGACCCCCATGTCCACCCTTAATGGCCCCTTGCTAAGAGTAGTATTGACAGTAGCTCAGATGGGTAGCTAAGTCTGCGGCGTCCTGTTGTTACCATTGCCTGCGAAACCGCTGCCCTGGGTGCGCGGGTGGAGGGCAAGGTTAAAAGTCCAGGGCTTGGCTGACGGTGGAAGGCCTGAGCAACTAAAACAAGGTTTTGGGGTAGATTTTGCTAAGGCGGTATAAGTCTTTAAAAACATGGAAGTTTGCAGTTGAATGTAGGACTACGATGCCGATAATCATGTAGGCCGCTAGAGGTGAGCTCTTGGAGCTTCTGCACCCGCAGCGCCCAAGCAAAATGAAAGGTTTAGGGTTCAGAGCTTTGTGGTAGCTTCGGGTTGCTTTTTCACAGTAGGATTCCTGTGAACCCATGAAGTCTAGGTTTCAGTGCTTGCAAGTAGAGGCAAAGGGCAAGGGCTCCTACTGTAGGAATGAAAGAGGTTTTAGGCGTAGGGCTTAGGTCGAAACATGGAAGAAGGGTGTCATAGGCGTACAGTTTCTGCTATGCTTACCCAAACAAATGGTCCTAGAGGACCATGGGGCGCCCACATGCCTAGTAACCACAAGAATTGAACCCCTAATCCCGAAACCTTAAATCCTGAATTGAACAAGGAATTGACGGCTACAAAAGCCGTATCTACTCAAGCACCCTAGAATAGTTGCTGCAAGCGTTTTCAGGCTGAAGTGGCTTCTTGGACCTGTCCCAGATAGAGAAACATTTGCAATAACAAGAGATACAACAATTCCCTGCGCGAAGGCAGCCATCTACGTCGTGGCGCTGGGGTAGGAGCGGAGGGGAACAGGGGGCGGTGGAGGTGGCGGAGTCCTGGGTACGTTTGAATCGGAAACCCAACCCCACCTGGGTCGCTTCACATCTTACACCCAAAGGCTCCAAACCCCTCCCCGAAGGGATGCCGATAGCCAAGTGTAGGTGAGGCTTACAGACTTTAGGGCCCAATGTCGTAGGTATAATTTGCACACTTGGATCCCTATATAACCCAGTTTGCATTTCATTGTCCTTGTGATTTTCCATTTGTTTCTCCATTATTAGGGCCCAATGTAGGTATTATACTTGGCTCCTTAAGGCTCCATATGGTAGTTTCCCAAAATGGTAACCCTAATTTTGGGAAACCCATATAATCCTTGTATAATCCCTGTATTTTCCATGTTCTTTTCCATTATCCCTATATAACCACTAAAACCCTAATAATCCCTATATTAGAAACCATGGGAAACCCCCATATTTTCCGGGGCCCCTGCGGGGAGCCTTCCAACATCACCACCTGAGCAGGGTCAACTTCCAGAGGCCGGCTAGGGGGCACGGATCATTAGGGTTTAGGCTTTATAGGGTTGAGGGTTTTAGGGTTGAGGGTTTTAGGGTTAGGGTTTTAGGGTTAGGGTTTAGGGTTAGGTTTTTGGGACTTAGGGTTCAGGGTTTTAGGGTTCAGGGTTCTAAGGTTTAGGGGCTTAGGGTTTAAGGTTTAGGGTTGAAACCGTTGGGTCTCCAAGTTTCGTCGTTGCATATCTGCCTTTTTCTCTCTGAAGAATGCTAGGATTCCAGGAGGCCCTGATTCAGGGTGTAGGGTTTAGGGTTTAGGCCTGATGATAGACCACAATCTAAACCCTAGAGCTTTAGGGTTTAGAGTCTTGGAGTCCAAGTATACAAATGATGGCAATAATGCAGAATCAAATGGAAAAGAACATGGAAACTGAAATGGAAATGGGGATCCAAGTACACAACTAACATTACATTGGGCTCTAAAGTCTGCAAGTAGTACCTACATTGGCTGATCCCTAGGGTGTCTCAAATCTCAGACCCGTATGGTCCGGAATCCCGCATGTTAAAAAACTCCATGACACTCGGCACCAATGAGCTTTTCGGCTCATTGTAATGGGTCTTCAACTGAGACAAAAAGAGTCCAAGTACGGCCAAGTGCCGAGCGGAAGACTAAGCGCAAGCCCTATATAATTGAAAAAGCCCGTGAGCCACATACCATGAGTATGCTCACTCAAGAAAATTCTGAACACTTCCACAGCCCCTTGATGATCCCTAGAACTCCTATATAGCTGGCCCGCCCAAGGTTTTATTAAGGTCTCCCCACCTCAACACCCATTGAACACAAACACTCACCAAAATTCCCAGGGAACCTTATATGTTACTTTCCCAAAATAAGGGGAAACCAATATGGACCCCAAAACACCAGAATCCTGAAAACAAGGACCCGCGAAAAAAGTACCTCTAATTTGGAGAAATCCCCATCTACACTCACCAAATACCCATACCCCTGCTCAAAACGCTGAACCCCAAATCCCTAAACCATTAAAATCTAAACCCCCAAACCTGACCTCAGCTTGCTGTACAAAGCCTCGCAACTGAGCTTTGGGCGTCTGGGCGGTGGGCGTTCAGCGCCCGGCTGACTAGGTTCGCCGACTCCTGCTGACCCAAAGGGTCCGTGTAGCTAGACGAAAGGTATATATCAACAAAATTCTTACAGAAGAATTGAAAGTAGATTATCCTAACGCCGCTGATTCCTCGTGTGGGTTAGAAGAGCCAATATAATCTACTGTGGATTCCACCGTAGCTTGTTCCCATGAACATAGGGTTTAGGGTTAGTGTCGTGGTCTTATCGGTCGCAGGAGAGATAGTAAGGCTGAGGGCTTAGGGACATGGGGTCGGGGAATCCGGAAATTTGGGTTGCGAATGAAGCTTGCGGGGCTGAAGTTTGACGGCTTATGGCGCAAACCTTACCAGGAGGAGTCCCTAAACCCTAGACCTTAGATTCGTAAGCATGAACCATTTGGACTGATGAGGGGCTGCAGTGCATGCAACTGTGCTTAGGGTATTGGTGTGATCCTATAAGTTGGGGTTTAGGATTTGGGGTTCAGGGTTTGGGGTTTAGAGTGCTGGAAGGACAGCTTTTGAGGTTGAGGGTGCGGGGTTGCGCGTAGTGGAGGCCTGTGGGTCATGTTGCTGATGGCAACAATGCTAATACTCCAACTCCTCCCCCTCGTGCTGCTCCGAGCCTCCTCCTCGTCCTGCTGCTGCTTCGCTACTGCTACTGCTACTGCTACTGCTACTGCTGCTGCTGCTGCTACTGCTACTACTACTACTACTACTACTACCACCACTACCACAGCTACTTTACTACCACCAGCGCTACCTTTTCTTCTGCAAGCATGATCACATATGCGCTGCTGGGGATTTCCTCGTGGACAATCTGCAGCCCTAATTGGATTCCAAATCCCACGAATGATGCTAAAATCCTGCATGACCCTGAGAATATCATGCCATGAAACCCTAAACTCTGAACATCATGCCACGGAAGCATGGTATCAGCACTATCAGTAGCAGTAGTAACAGCAGCAGCAGTAGTGGCATCAGCTCTCAAGCTGCGACGAGCATTTTCAGAAGACTCCACAGCAGTCCAGGATGCTCTGGGCCAGAATTATAGGTGTTTCTTACTGGGGGTTGGTAGGGAATATGGGAATATATTATATGGGGATTATATAGGGAATAAAGTCCCTTAGTCACTTACCACCAGTAAGGTTTACTGTAGTATAAACCCTGACTAACCCTCCTTGGCTCATTCTGCACCTACCCCCGCTTCTGTTGACTGAATACCACAGAGCGACCCGGAAGCCGCTGCCCACACCACTTTCCCCAAACTAGGAGTACCTTTTTGATTGTTTAGGGCTTAGGGTATAGGGCCTTTTCTTATTTTGGTGATCTAAGGATTTAGGGTTTAGGGACTTTCTTGTATTGTGGGTGTCTATGTCAGGTTGCTTTATTCTTGGGGACCCTACCATACACATCTTAGCCTGAAAGAGGTCATCGCCAGCCTTTCGCCTTATTGGGATCTTTCTCCGAAGGGTCCGAACACTTGATGACACCAAGTTCAACCAAATCTGAAAACAGTAAGTTTCAGCCAACTTTCAGGGTGAGGCTCTAGCCAAGAGCCCATCCCAACCCCAAGTCCTGAAGCCAAGCCCCTAAACGCTAAACCCTGAACCCCTAAACCC